GCTACTGATTGGCTTGCCATTATGTAACCATTATTAGTAGGGAATTTTTCTCACCGGAAGATTAAACAATATGCCTCGATGACCCGCTCTTGTAGATTTGCAGCCCTGTATACTTGGGGCAACAGAAAATTGAATGCTGAGAACTGAAAGCAGTTACTCGATCTATTTCATCTTTTATACCTCAGTCCCTTTGCTAACACTAGAAGTGTAGTTTATTTACTTACCAATCTATCTTTTGCAATAGCGAGCGCTTTATTCGGTACTGGTATTTGGTGCAGCAGATCGAAAAAATTCCTTAGGAAGTAAATTCTGAAAGCATATGTCCCCCACATGCAATCCCCACATATGTCCCCCACATAATTGAGAATATTCATACAGTTTAGAGCATTTTTTTTGTAACTAAAACAAGGTGATGGTGCTTCCAAATCAGCATAAGCTAGCTGAACAGTGCACCACCGACAGTCTTCAGACCATTTATTCTTTGTTTTTTTTATTTATTAGGTACAAGAAAAATATATACATTGAAAAAAATATATACACAACTAAAAAGGGCCCGCTCTACTGCAGGTCAGGTTGTGTTGGGGGCACAGTGGCAGTGGTGCTGTCAAGGCCCTGGCCGCTGTGGCTGGGCAGGAAGCCAGCTGCCGCGAGCAGCCGATAATCTCCACTCTGAGAGTGGGGATCATCGGGCTGCTCCACAACAAATGCTTTTCTGAAGCGCCGCTTCCTGCCCCCACAGCGGTCACCAGACCCTGGCAGCCTTCCTTAATAAAGTTGAGGGTCTCCGCCTGGTCGCACCCTGCTTTTTGGCAGATGACATCTGCATACAAAAACAGAAATACCATAGTACACATGAAGCACTGCAGTACAGAGAATACACAAGGGTACACACACATAAAACAATGAACAAGTATAACCTGTCACTAATCTACAGAGCCTCAGGCTCACAAAGGCCCCTTTTCCCTTTTCTGCCATGAAGGCTGTACAGCACTTGCACGTCATGTGCCAATACAGCTTTCATGGCATTCACACCAATTTCTGGAGGCCACGTCCCCCAATCTGCAGGAGGTGCTTGCGCTGTAAAAAATGCAAGAAGCATAGATGGGGTAAACGCAACAGCAGATTGAAATGTTTTCATGATAAAAATCTGCAAGAAGAGGAAACTGAAAACAACAACTTGAATTTTTGGGCATCACAACATTTCATTGTTTGTACGCTAACTTCAACTCACTTGACCTAAAATGGTTTCCACGTCAGCCCTCTCACACTCAGTGTGAGAACCTTTCAGAGTCCTTCTCTGATATGCATAGTTTTGCTGTTATGAAATCAAATACAACACTGTTATAACCCTTAATAAATATTGATTGTAGCTATGAAATAGTATAATTACTTTGTAGAGTGCTCAAATTCCAATACACTTTTCTTCGAGGTTACAATGTCTTTGCCTGAATGTTGACCAGGAGTACCTTCTACAGGTGAAAAACTATAAAATATGTAGACTTCAAAAATAAGCTTGGACATGTTTTTAATCAATGCATTGTAAGCAGAGCGCAACAAGATAAATGAACATGATCAAGGCGCACTAAGAGGCAACCTTAGAGCGACCAAATCTTGGTCATAGATAAAACTGATAGAAAAATAAAGGTCGCACTAGATGGTCGCACCATTTGCTGTTTATATTTTTCTGTGATAGCCGATAAAGAGGCATGTCGCTATAGAAATCTCATCACAATAAACAAAGGTACATTTTTTTCACCCTGCAAAATGGGGTGCATGTTAGATTTAAAAAAAAAGTAAGGAATAGGCTAACACAAGGCAGGGTGAACTGTAGCTCAAAGTAGAGAGAGCCGCAGCGGACACGAAATAGGGTGATAAATGAACAAAATTACTGAATGTCTGTTTTAAGCAGGCTATTGCTAGTCACTGCCCATCAAACACACGATGCCGCCTACATCGTCTGCTAGCTTAGGACAGTTCACTCGGACTTCACAGACTATAGTAAATACAGTCGAATCTCATTAATTCCAACACACTTAATTCGAACTGACGCTGTGGTCCTATCAAAGCTATACCGCGCTCCGAAAATGCTCTCAGCACCCGCCCAATCCTGCGGTGGCACTTCAGACACCTCAATACAGTGCTTGAAGAAGAAAAATTACGGCATATTCACGGGGTGAATGATGATGAATGGGCGAAGCTCCGGAGGGATTCATCGGTAAACTGTGAATCTTCCGTGTAATTCGCCCAGTCGATCATCATGTAAAGACGTGAGAAACGCTGTGTGTATATATACACAAATCAACTTTTATTTGTTCTTAGACGATGGATGGCTTGCGATGTCCCTTGCCTCGCGCGCTCGCACATCGGGATTCTGTCTGCGAGCGCGCTGCTGCCGCCTTGCGCTCTCTCCGCTGTGCAGCTTTATCCATCCGGCGACTCCGAGCGCGCGCCAACAGCGAACGGATTTTATTACAACGCTCCCCCTAGCGTACGTCGCCGCACTAAATCGAACGATTGCCTTCAACCAATGACACGCGCCATATGTGACATCATTCCTATTTTATAAGATCTCGCTTCTTTCATCAACTACAAGTACCGCTTTCTAGTTTATAACATCTTGCATCTTATCATCAGCTACAAGTACCACCATCTAGTAAACACTACAAGAACTAAACGAGAGGTGGCTACATACAGGAGACGGTACCGCCATCTAGTGAACACTGCAAGAACTAAACTAGAGGTGGCTACATACAGGGGACGGTACTGCCATCTAGTGAACACTGCAAGAACTAAACTAGAGGTGGCTACATACAGACTACAGGGGACGCACAGCCCACGCCCTAAGGAACTTCGCCCCTAAAAATGAAGAAAAGGAAAGAAAAGACTGCAGTGGAATGTTTGTTAAATGCCAATCTGCGACATTCCTGTGCCACGCTTCGGCTTTTTTCGTCCCTGCAACGTAGAGACCCTTCTCCTCCCACACCGCGCACGAAGAGAAAGAGGGAAAAAAACCTGTCACAGAGAGTTGGCTCTCTTTCATGCCGATCTGCAACGCGCCGGTGTCACGCTTTCCTGTTTTTCGTTCCTGCTATGTAGAGACCCTTCTCCTTTCAACACCGCGCATGAAGAGAGCAAAAAAAAAAAAAAAGCTGCCGTGGAGTGTTTCTCTCTCGAATGCCGATCTGCTTTTTTCCAGGTGGAGACACTCCTCCTTTCTCATCATGTGCTGGCCACGCTCCGGCTGCAGCGCAGATCGTAACAGTGGAAACACAGTTGTGGTCTTCGAAGAGTGTCAGCACTGGACATTGCCGCGTGCAACTTCTTTTGCCAGGAGAATACTGAAGCCGAAGTACAAATGCTTTGCAAACTGCACGCAAAACTGGTTGACTCGTTGCAAGGCCAACGTGTACAGACATGTATTGATTACTTTAATTATTGACGGATGTCCTGTAATTTGTGAATAAAACTTCCCCATGCACATGCACCACTGCATGGTGAGCCCTCCGCTCATTTACCGTATTTACTCGATTCTACCACGCCCTCAATCGTAACGCGCACCTGATCCACGACAAAAAAAAAAAAACTAAGACATCGATTGCAACGCGCACCCATTTTTCTTGTTGGCCCGCTTGATCACAGCACTCGGGAAAACGACTCCTTTTGAGAGCGTCTTCCGTTTAAATATGAGGTACGGGGGAAGCTTGTGCCTATCTGACGTGCAACGGAGCATTGCTGCCACTCTAGTTTTACCGTGGCCCGATGTCAGCACACGAACTTGCTTCGCCCCCTTCTCCTCGACGGTTGTGGTGCCAGGCATGTCGAAGTAAAGAGGCGTCTGATCGGCATTCCCGATTTGCCCAAGCAGGTAGCCGTTGTTGTGCCGCAAGTTTAGGAGGAACCTCTGAAGACTCTGAAGCTTTTCTTCGTACTCCTCCGGCAACTTCCGGCATATGCCCGTTCGCTTTCGGAGGGAAAAGCCTTTCCTCTTCATTAAGTTAGCTAGCACCTGCTCGCTTTAAACTGGCTCTGCATTAGCCCTTTTTCTAAGGCTAACTGCATAGCCTGCACTTGGAGCAGTTCTGTCGTCACGGGCCGCTGTGCCGCTCACTGCTTAATCACATACTCGCCGAGCAGCTCTTCAATTTGTGGAAACCGACCCTGCTGTGGTCCACTGAAGCTTTTGCGTGAATCTTTGCTGTCGACAATATCCTGCTTTTCTTTCCGCCAGTCCCGCACGCACGTTTCGGGAACTCCGAACGACCGCGATGCGGCCCGATTTCTGTCCATTTCGGCACACGCGATGACTTTTCTTTTAAAAGTAGCGTTGTGGTACACTCGTCGAGTTTTTGGAGTCGGCCCTACCATGCCGTCGATGCTAATGTACAACAAGATGACAAACTTCTCAGCACACGTACGAAGTGCCGCACATGGAAAACACATAGGCAGAAATGGCCGACGCGCCATGCCGACGCACGTAGGGGGCGGCCATTTTGGAAGTGCCGATGGCAATAGAATGACCATATTAATTTTTTTTTGTACTCGATTCTAACGCGCATGCGATTTATGAACTCGCTTAACCAGAAAAAAAGGTGCGCGTTAGATTCAAGTAATTACGGTAACTTTCATTATTTTGAACTTCTTTTAATTTGAACAAATTTTCTGGCCTTTTTGAGTAAGAATTATTCATATTCGTCTGTAGTACAGTGGCTCATGAGATTACCTGACTAGTTTGTTTCCCTAAACACAGTATCTTAAAGCAGTACTAAATTTCTTCATGTTACATAGGCATATTAAAAATCAAGGAATACACACCAAAGCCGCAGCCACAGCTTCACTCTGCACAGCTGCCTCTGCTGCCTCCACTTCTTCAATTGTACCAGCAGGCAGCCGGGGAAGGTCAGCAGGGGACTGTGCTGGCTGGGCGTGCTGAGGCACGGACAAGAGCCGTACCTCGTGCTTCAACTGTCACACCTCCTGCAGAACCTCTCTTAATTGTTGCTGCCGGATGCCAAGTTGGACCCGCAGGATCCATAGCAACAGAGCTGAAACATACAAGAGTACATACCATATTTGCTCGCACAATTTGCATCCTCACATAATTTGCTCACCAGTATAACTAGCCAGCCTGCTTTTTACAATAAACTTTTTGCTCGCATACTTTGCCTTCCCCAACCAGCCCGAGCCACCTTGCCAGCACACACACAGACACATTTGACTTCATGATCCTCTGGTCAGGCACATCTCTTGTCGAGCAGGCGAGTGCAGTCTTACGCAAAATCAGCTGAGTGCAAGGTCCCTTCTTCCATGAACTTTTATGCTTTTCCTAGAATATGGAACTTGAAAACCGAAACCTGTTCATGTGTAGTACGAAATGCTTAAAGGTTTGCCTCCTATCTTCCCACCTCTTTGACGGCAAGAACGTATTCCCGAGACACAGCACAGATGTTGGACACGTGCAAGGACCCGTCACATCAACAAGATGAGGCAGGTTTTCGCACTCATTTTCTTTTTTTTTCGGTTTCGCAGTTTGTCCATTGCGTTTTTACCGTTCCTTTGTGATAGGCTACAATAATTATATATGTGCCAGATTTCTGTTATAAAGCTTACCGAAAAAAACTGAAACCGTGCCACCGCCAAGCACATCAGCGTGGAGTTCTTCGACATGCAATATTCAGTATGGGAGCCAGCAGAAGAGTGCGTTGAATAAGACTTAGCATAGAAGCTTGAGGGTGTTGGTTAGATATCGGAGGGAACACAACGCAATAGAAGACTGGAACAAGGAATGGGGACACACACACATGAAGGGCGACACACACAGCACTGTGTTGGCATCGCGCTTCCTTGTCTGCATCTTACTTTGCGTGGGGTTCCCTACAAATCGGAGAGTACTTAGGTTCTCTGGTATAACCCTATCGTAGGAACTGGTTTTTGTGAGCAATGTTCAGAAGAACTTCGAGAAAATGGGGGCATTTGAACAGGCTTAGCAAACAAATGACAATCCACTTTGAGACAGCTGTGACAGCGCCTGCAACATATATTCCCAGTTGGGCTTTTAGGCCAGCGATTCCTACTAGCTTCGCACATAACCGGATCGACAAAAAAAAAGTACACATAATATGCGAGTATATACCGCATTTGACTCTGTAGCTTTGATGAACCAGGCAGATACACAAATTTATCCAAAACTCCATTGAATCTGTTGCAAAATTATTCAACGAAAAATTGCGATTTTATCAATGTTACTATACGATTGTGGTACTTTACCATAGCAGCTTTCCAGGAGGCCCACATAGTGCAGCGTTAGTTCACCACTCACAGTTAATTGTATGCAGTAGGTTGCTCACAGCGACTGACAGCATGCAATGGTGAACATCTGGCACGCTTGCATCACTGTTTCATCATGCTGGCTTCTCTATACGCCTATCGATTGATGTTGATAAAATTGGGAAGATCAAGAAAGACTACACAGTGCCCTCTGGCCACCCTATACCCCAAACCTCCAGCCAACAAACAAACAAAAGAAACAGAGGTATGCAGATGAATATTATTCCTAATGCAGCTGGAATGAAGTGTAGTTTTCACTGATTCTGTGTGTTAAGTCAATATGGAGTGAGTTAACTCCATAAAGTAGCTTTTCTCATAACAGTGTTCACTCCATTGTAACGCAAGGAGTGACTTCATAGCATCTAGAAGGAAAAATAGAATCTTCAGTATTTGATTGAAATGTGAGGCTCCACCTTAAAACAACAATAATCTGGAAAAAGAACTCATTACATTCGAAAAAAAATGGTAGCACAGTTGATCCCTTTTACAAAAGACACTGATGTAACAGACAAACGGGGATAAGAGGCACCAGTGCGCCTACAGTAAAATACAGGTTGATAAGAAAATGCATACGTAGTACCCTGCTGATAAGAGATGCCTCATCTAATAGAGAAGAATCGCTCCCCGGTGCATTTCTCGGTACGTCGCTTTCAAGTGTTATACCAACTTTACTGGCTGTCTTGCAACTATAGCAGGAATAATAAGTTTTTATGCACAGCAGCAGTATACAACTGGTCATGCTTTGGTACAGTTAAGTTTATCATGTCACCACCAATGACAATACTTTATTTTCAACTTGCCTGCAAAGATGTCACCGTGCAAATAATAAATGGCTCAAAATGAATTTTCCCAGCTTTTATTCTACTCAAATACCTAAGGGCGGCATTTCAAGAATAGGAACAGACATTAACATACTTCTCTAAAATACCAAAGCATTGCACTCGGAGCTGCATTGCCAATATATAAAGAACGCCACATAGATTCTCTTTTTGTTTTTTGTCTTGGCTATAACTGTTTAGGCCATCAGAGGTACCGCCGACGGTGTAGCAAAACCGCAAAGAAAGGAAATTAAAACACGAGAAATCGCCTTGGCCCGCATCCTATGCAAACCTGCAAACACTACAGGCTGAAGATAACCTTTGCAGCATTTCTTGCATAGGGCACTAAGTCTAGTGACTCCCCATTTTTTTCTTTAGATGCGAAGCAGCATGTGTAACCTTTCCATCCGTGTCTCCATGCTAAAGCGCCCCACTGCGTTGCCCAGCCGCAGTTGTTGGAACGATGCCAAGTAGGTCAAGCCACAGCTGCACATTGACATGACTCTCTCCCTCACCCGCAGCAGCTCCCAACAAACCCAGGGGGTGTTGCTTCTTTACCCGCTCGCAACAGACTTTTCTATCGCTTCACCCTCTCCACCACCCGCAATGCTCAACCGCCCGTCGAGTGGAAACACTCTTTCGGCTCCTTTATCTGCGATGAAACTCTAACCCGCCTCCCGTGTTTTTGCGTTTCAAAGAAACGTTTACTCGAGTAAAGGTTACACAGTTTCACTTCAACCTGTTCTTTCAGCGCCCGCCTTGACGCCTGTTTCAGCCAAGTCAACATCGGGTATACCACTGCTTCTTCCCATCCCATCATGATTCTCTTCCGGGAGATGGTCCATAACTTTTTTTTTTCTGTGGTGCTGCATCACCTACTGCACTTGTGAATGCTATAACAGTGTTGAAGCCCGGACGATAAACAATGAGAGAAAATTCCCAGCAGGTGCGCTAATTATTATTATTATTATTATTATTATTTGTGAAATACTGCAGGCCAAAAAGGCCCAAGCAGGAGGGGCAAAAACACAAACACAATATCAGTACATGAGTGACACAGCTTCACTAAAATACATCTGTGTAAGAGGAGAGCGAGTAGAAGAAAAACATCATAACAAAGAAAGCACGCGATCAGTATATGAGTAACACAGCTTGACTAAAATACATCTGTGTAGGAGAAGAGCGAGTAGAAGATTCGGACTGTGCAGGCTGACATTTGGCCCATCATGCACCAGGCACTTCGTAGATGCGCCTGTGCAGCCGGGAGCCCTGCAGTCAAGCATGCTGAGCAAGACTTGACCACTGTACAATGACACATTGCCACAAATTTTCAAAACTTCATTTCACAGACTTCTGCACAAGCTTCTTACACTCTTGCATGATTTTTGCACAAGCTTCTTTCATTCTTGCGTGATTTTCGTCAGAACATATAAGTGTTGGAAGTTGTATGTCCCCAAAAACTCGCACAATACAAATAGCATACATTAAAGTCCATCACTTAATACGTGTATAGTGTAACAATGAAAGGAAACTCACGCATGGTTTGCTCCGAGCCTTCCCCCTGCGGTGCCTCCTTGTGCCTTGGAGAGCACTGTACAGCTAGAGCAAAGTAGCACCAATCCAGTGTTAATGACAGGTTAACAAGACAACAAAATTAACCTCCATATTCATAAACGCTCCTCGACTCGACTTTCACCCTTCACTTGACAGAGTTGAGCACTGTGCCGCTGCTCATCTGAAAGCGACGCTGCGCTACTCGAGAATCACAATAGATAATTGCTGACATGCAGCGACTTTCTCTGCCTAGAGACGGCGCTCCCATCGGCCATCTCAAGTGAAGGTGAAGCGTTGAGTGGAGGGACGTTCTAGAATACGGGGGTAAGATTGGTTGCAAGAACACTACAATTGACACACTTAATTTTTACACTTCATCTATATTGTACAGCCACACACATTCTGCATCCTTATAATGCAACATACTCATACAGGCTTAAAGAGTAAACAGAGTAGGCTGCTCAAATAACACCTACGCAAAAAATTACCCAAACGTGGCCATGCGCAAAGTACTTTTATTTGAAACTCACAAAACTTTTGCGGTGATGGAGAATGAATAAGACAGGTTACGCTAGGAGGCACATGAGACCTTGGCAGCTTTCATAAAGTACAAAAAACAATATGCTGAATGTGTGTGTATGTACACATGAAGCTTCAGCCTTTACATGCGGTTTCTTGATAGAATCGATTATGAATTTTTATGGCACCTGTGTCCTTCAGTGCAATTGAAAGCCTGCTGATCTCTGTGTGTAATCGTGGAATGGTTACATGAAAAATAGCGTGAAACACCTAAAATAAAATTTTTCTAGCTAGGAAATATACAGCTGTGTACACAGAACACATGCTGCAAACAGTGGGAGGTGACCACAAGAGTGATTTGAGTGTAAACGGCAGTATTCCACATTCATGCATCGTGCCATTTTCAACTGTTGCCCAAAAGCAGCACCACTTCTTAGCGTGCTACTTTTTTTTTTACATCATAAACAGCACGGAATACAGCGAGGATGAAAACAACATATGCAATCAAATTTCGAACACTATTTATGGTGCGCATGAAAAAATTAGGCCTTCGTACAACGACGAATTGATAATTTGCCTTCACGGGCCGTCTGTTAGGCTGCACCACATACAGATCTTTCGTGGCTTTCAGAAGAGATTTGAAAAAATAATAGCCGTGTTTACTCTCGTCATGAACGCACTCACTAAGTCAGCCCCATTTCAGTCACCAAAATTTTGGTTTTTTTTCTTCCACATATTAAACACACACCCTCCGTTCATCCGCTGCAGTCCCACGTGCTCCCCCCCTCCCCCCATCCCGCCTTCGCTCGCTGCCACGTGCCATTTTATTTTTGTTTCTATTTGTTCACGGCACGTCCCCTGTCTTTTTTAATTATCTGTTGTAACATATGTGGCATCATCTTGTTCCCGAGGAACAAAGCAACACCCTGGATGCCATTTACACAGTTATGTCGCAACACCACATCAATTTGTGGGAAACGAAAACTTCAAATGCATTTTTGTCAGTTTCATGTTTTTAGACGTAATACGTAGCCTTACGGGCATTTTGACATGTTTCATTGACTCACAATAACAAGTTTGATACCAATGTGCTTTATTGAATAGATCGGGCCCATAATGCTATTCATATTCTTCTATACCTTTTCACCAAATTGTAATTCTTGACGATAGTAAACAATATGTGGCAGACATTATTCACTCATGTATGTATACATTTATTTATTTTACATTCGAAATTTGTTCCAAACTATTAAATTAGCATCATAGGCTATGCCAGCTCCTTGGTAATCTGCATATATACTTTGTTCTTGTGTTTGACACCGTGAAATTGCCAAAAGCATCGTAAGAAATATTCTAATTGTGTATTACAAAACTTTGACATCTTCTGTTCTAATGCAGCCATCGAAAATATACTTCTACATTTGGAATCTGCAGAAGAAACTGAATAGGTGTAATAAGTTTCATTCAATTCAGACAAATAACAAAAAAGTTTTTGAAGACCGACGTCTCACGTTAAACGATAGTGAGAATATAAAGCGGCGAAACACTTTCATGGGGTGCACGGGTGGTGCGAGGATAGCTTGCAGAAGATAGCACCATCAAGCACTGAGGATGTGAAGTGTAACAGAGAATCTACTTTCTACTGTTTCCAAACAGTGTTTGCATATGTGAATTGTAAAAGGTTAAGCTTCATGACGTGTTTTTTTGCAGAGCCACATTTTTTGCTCGTCCCTCAAAAGTTTTCATTAAATTTACCCCACATAATAAGCTCACTCCCACCTTTGATTCCATTTTTCAGGAGAAGATGTGCATTCATTACGAGAGTATATACAATACTCAAACTGGAAAAGGTATGTTTCAATCTGTAGCTATATTCAAGATCTTTTTATTATCACCAAGATCAAATCCATGTGCTGGCTGGTTATCGGTTCTTTTAACTCAATCCTCAAATCATGATACAGTCGAATCTCATTATTTCGAACACGCTTAATTCCAACTTCCGGTTAATTCGAACTAACGATGAGGCCCCGTCAAAGCTATGTTTATTCCAATAGGCGAAAACACCCGGTAATTCAAACGCCCAAGCACTTCCGACGATTAACTCGAAGATACCACGCTCCGAAAATGCTCTCAGCACCCGGCCCAATTCCGCTGCAGCACCTGCGGCACCTCACCGCTGCCCGCGAAGGAAATGAAAAGGAAAAGAAAGGCTGGGGTGAATGTTTGCTCTCTCAAATGCCGATCTGCGACGCACCCGTGTCACGCTTCTCCCTTATCCGTCCCGGCTAAGTATCCCACCTCGTTCCAACGCTGCGCACCAAGAGAGAGAGGGAAAAAAAGAAAGCCGTTTGTAAATGAATTATTGTGTGGTTAAAGGAAAGGATAAAGGCACTATCTTCTGCAGCCCTTGCAGGAGCACGGCTCTGCGCCTTAAGGGGGGGGGGGGGGGGTCTTTCACGATCTGGTTCAAGACATGCTGTTTTCCCTTCCCTGCCATGTAACCCTTCTCCATTCAACGACGGCGCGAAAGAGAGCAAAAAAAAAAAAAAGCTGCCGTGGAGTGTTAGTTTTCTCTCAAATACCGATATGCTTCTCTCCATGTGGAAACCCTCCTCCTTTCTCGTCACGTGCTGGCCATGCTACAGCTGCGTGGCGGAGAGCGGGAGGCTCCGCCATGCAGCGGTCGTTGTTGTCATCTTTAAAAAGTGTCGGCGATGGACATTTTTGCGCGAAACTTCTCTTGCCAGGAGAATGCTGAAGCCGAAGTAGAAATGTTTTGCAAAATGTGTGCGAAATTGATTGACTCACTGCAAGGCAAACGTGTGCAGACGTGCATTACCGATTACCTCAAACATTACCAGATGTCCAGTGATATGTGAATAAATGTAAGTCTTCTCAAACTTCCCCCTCGTGTGCTAGCTCAATGCACATGCACCACTGCAAAGAGAGCCCTCCGTTTACTTAGCTTTTATTATTTTGAACTTCTTTCAATTCAAACAAATTTTCGGGCCCTTCGGGTTCGAATTATCGAGATTCGACTGTACCATACATCTGACTGTTACCACTGCGCACTTTATAGATGTATTGCCGCTCACAGCCTGCACACAGGATGCAGAACAGTGTGATGCCAGACCCGCATGATGAAAAGTGCGGCACTGGTGCTATGTTGGAAGTGCCAACAGCCTTTTTTCTTCAGCATAAGTGAAAACAAACGACTAGTGAATGTGCACTGGAGTACATAGCAACACAGCGGCAAGATTCCCGCCACTTGTTAGACGGACACTAAAGCCAAGTAACATTTTACGTGACAGTGAAAGATCAACGTATAATGTCTAAAACACCAATATTATCAACAGCAATGCCCTACTTACCAAAAAACTAAGGTAAATTAACGAGAACACATGCGTCAAAATAACACATTGATCCTGATGACATCAGTTACAGCCTACAATTATCACTAATAATCAAACTAGCTGTACTAAATAAAGAACCTTCCGTGCATCAAGAGACTTAATAAAATACTGCTTGTTCGTTTCAGTTTGATTCACGGAAAAAAACTGCCAGGCGTTACTACGGGGAATGGCGCGAGTGGTTCAATAGTTCAATTTTCACCTGGTTAAACTAGACTGATCATGCCATCTAGCTTGTTCATCTGACGTCACCGGGATCATTTTGATAATATCCTACTGTGGCACGTGTATTCTTGTGCATTTACCTTAATTTCTCGGCAAATAGGGCGCTGCTCTTGATAATGCAGTAGTACCTCGTTATAACAAAGTGTGAAATGATTTTCTCTGCGAGGCAGGCTGCTGTGATATTCAGTGGCGAGCACATTCTCTCTTGCTGGCTAATGGTTGGTAGAAATGAATATGGGCTAAAATAAACTAATGCTATAACGAAGAATTTAAGACTCCCCCTTCAGATTCGTTATAACGAGGTTTAACTGTATTGTCGTTTTATACACTGTCATACATTGAGCTTTTACTCTGACGTAAATTGTTAGTTGACTTTAATGAAAAAACAATTTCGAGTACTTTAGCACAGTAATAACACAGGTGTTGTTCACTGAGGTATCTTTGAGAATTACTTTATGAATTACGAGGTTTGGGCAACCCCACCACAGGCGATGAAACGTCCTCCAGTTCATTGTGGTCTTCATTGCCTAAAAAGAATGTTTAGGCATGTACATTTATTTTAAACGACAGTTAGATATGAAACAGATAAGTGGACCTTTTAAGGTTGCATGAAGTGGCAAAAGAAGCTTATACCGTATCCTTAAAAATAAAATACCGTAGTAATGGAAGCCCCATTTTTTCCCTTGGATTCAATGAGCACTACCACATTTTGGGGCATTAAGAATTGGAAGCTACTATATGACCACAGGTTCCAAATAGCCTGGAAATTTAGGCACTATATTATTCATAAACATTGTTTTTGGTTTACACTTCAGCTTGCCAATTAGATCCGAATGGTTCCTTCAGGTCAACCTCTTAGCTAGCTCAATTATCAAAGTGGTCATCATCTCT